CATATACTCAGGTTTTTGACAGGATTGGATTGAGGAAAGATCATGTGGCTCCTTTCCCTGCTTCAGTCAGATCAATTCCTCAAGATAGAAATGAAATGATGTGGGATGGAACTTGGGCCACCACAGAAGTAAAAGCAAATTTCCCATAAGACTGCCTTGCATAAGCAGGAGTGATTTCTAGCTTGCTTAAAACTGCTTTGCCTCCAAGAAATGAGAAGTTGCTGGGTGCAAAGAAGCACCAAGGTTTGCATACAGCACTGGTTGAGACAGCCAGCTAGGTCCTGCAGTTCCTCTCCCCCCTGGATTTCCTTGGATGGTTATACATAAGCCTTTTACTTTTTTCTTACCTGCCATGGCCATTTTCACCTTCTTCAAGGAGTTCATGGATCTTTTTGTTTCCTTTTCTGGGTAAGGAACAGCCATGGGCAAAAGAGCAGCCAACCCTAATAATGGCTGCAAAGTACATGCATAATAGGCAGCCAGTGGGGCGCTTGTAACCAAGCACAGGTCAACTTCTTTTTATCTGCCTCATTATTTCCCAAGGATTTTTCTGAGACAATAAACACATTTCATTTTTCTTCTTCACAAGAGCATTCTGAGTAATTAACTCTTGTTTCTAATATAAAGTCATATTGCACTACTCACACTCTGCATAATACATATGGCAAATATTGTTCATGCTTGGTTATAATAATTTGTTTCTGTTATAGACTATGTTGGCTGTCTTTTTGGGGAAAATAGTAACCATTCTGTTTAAATGAAAGCTGTATGAAGCATTTAAGAGGTTTGAGTCCTGAATTCCCTTCTAAAGTTTTCCCTGTTTTGGAGTGTATTTGTGGAAGGTCGTAAGTCTTCACAATTGCTTTCTCTTGGAAAATCTGCTCTGGTAGATAGGAGCAGCTTCAAAAACAGTTCTGAAAAGTAATTACAGTTAATTCCAGAGCATTTAAAAATATAAAGTTCCAAGCCCTCTACCCCAGTAGTGAATCAGAGATACAATTTTAAAGTACAGTTCATTTGAGCTGAGGGCAATAAAAAACTGGCTTGGGACTTGCATTCAGACCTACTTTTATTTCAGCCAGTGGTTTGACCTACTGACTTGGCCAGTGGTTCCCAACCTTTGATCCTCCAGTTGTATTGAACTTCAGCTCCCAGAAATCCCAGTTCCCAGCTGTTAGGAATTGTGAGAGATTAAGTCCAAAACAATTGGAAGAGCAAAGGCCAGGAACCATTGATTTAGGTGAATGTCAACCAGTGTAAATTAAATGCAGTCAAATGTAGCAACTTAAATTACTATTCAAATGTAGTAACTTATATTGGGCCCAGAAAAACTAGCAATGCCTCAGTTTCAGAACATTTTAGTATGCTTTCACCATATTCTCATACACACTGAGACATAGGCAGCAGCATTCTGTAATAGATGAAGTTTCCCAACCATCTTCCACAACAGTAGTACTTAAAGTAGTAGTTTGTGGACCAATACTGGCTTGCAGCATATTTCCAGGACACAAACACATGTAGCCAATGAGTATAAATATAATGGCTTATAACACATTGAAAGTAATTGATAACCCATGAGAAAAATAATTTGATGTATGAGTGCCAAATGTTTGAATGCTTCAACTATAAACTGTGCGTCCTTAGGGTAACCCACAATTTTAACAATAGCTTGCCATAACCTGTAATGCACTTTTGAATAAAGTTCTTCTATCTTCAAGTTGGACTCAGGTCTGCAGCTGGCACAGGTTGGGGGGAACAGAACATCTGAGGAGCTAGATCTATATAAAATGATTGCTTCAATTACAAGCATTTTTCCATTGGCTCTTAACAAAGATGAAATGGCAACACATACCCTGTTAAGAGCATGTTTTCTCATGTTGCTATAATTCAGATAAAATGTAGCTCAAAGGAACAGTAGTAATGTTAAAGTTCAAAAGACAAGAAGATACACAGATTTCTGTATAAGTAACAACTTTATTGTAACTTGATGTTCTGAAATGCAAAAATATTTTCAGCAACAAGGTACAAAAAGTATTTCACTGTTAACCTCAGGCGGATATAAAAGGCTGGATGGTCTCTGATGCAAGTGTTTTATCATGATAGATAATGCGAGGAACTTTCAGCTAAGACCAGGTTTAAGTTCTTCCAATGTTTTGATTCTAAAACAGGACTAAAAGAAATAAACCTTTATTCTGACATATCAAAATCCAGATTTTAACCTAAAAGTATGATCAACGCAAACCACAGCAAACACTGACAAAAATAATGAGAATCCATTTCAGGAAAAGTCCATTTGCTGCAAGCAGAAAGCAAGTAAATCAATGCAGTTGTGTTGTAAAACAAACAACTAGCAGTTGACAGGAGTCTTAAGAAAATCCAATCAACCCATCCAATAAAACGGAAACTGGGTGGGTCAATTGTTTTAAGTAGCCATATAACCTAAAGCCAAACATCTTCAGCTGCTCACTCTAATATTTTCTATGGGAATTTCATAAGGACAATCCTCTTCTATAGAAGGCAGCAATGTGCAGGACATGCATTGTATTGCTATCTCTGAAGTCAACAAGTGCTCATTGCCATTCCATATTTAAATAACAGAAATGGGGAAATTCCTACCAATGCAATTCCTATCCCTTACAAACCCCAATCCTTTAATCTGTCTCATCTTGAGTCCACAGAAATGCCTCCAATCATTTTGGAAGGAAATGAATAAATATTTCGGAGTTGCAGCTTTTGAAGACATCCAGGTTGACGAACACATACTTAATTTAATCGATATTCACAACTTGCTTACGTATCAGTCATATCTGTCTAGCTTTCCAAGGCATTTCCAGAATTAGCCATCTTTTTAATCTTACATTTCAAAAAGGCACTATGCTTTCATACTTCAGCCTGCAGTAAATGGACTGTCAAGATCGGGATGAGTTACTGAAGTTTCCTTCATTGAAAAACACTTATCACATAAGTCATTTAAGTGGAACCTCTGCCACTTTTAACAGCAAACGGAGTCCTATTTGTCCTAAAATAAAATCTTTGTTAAAAACCACACATTATTACACAACACATGCAGGGCGCTTCCTTCGGGGAAAAGTTTGATGGTGATGGCTGATGGGGCAGAATTGGCAAGCCAAACATGGCACTTTGATAACTGTGCTGAAAAATCCTTTAAGCAAGCTGTCGCCTGCCTTTACAAAACACCTAGCTTTCAGCTAGAAAATACATTTAGAAATAAACTTTTTTTTTCTCTTGCATTATTTTGAAATTCATCACCTATTTTTATGGAAATGGGAAATACAATCAGTCTACCTTTACTCAGAGAAAATCCTTCTTGCCAGCTCCTTCTGGACGAGGAAGAACAAGGCAAGTCTTTCACTGCAGAAAAGGGAGCATATTACAGTGCACCCAATGAACAAAACATTTTTTGTGTTTGTGTCTGGCAGATAACATAGTAAATCAACCATCGTGATGAGTTATTAAACTCATGTAAGGTATGCATTTGCTAATTTCGATAAGTGGATTTCTATGGAGAGTAGATACTCTTACAGCAGTGTTTTGGCCATATTTTTGGTACAAAGCGTGCCGTGAAGCTTCTTTAAAACGTTAAACAAAATGCTTCAGATGTTCCATTTGTTCTCTGTATCTAACAGCAAGCTGAAATGGACAATTACAGTATTAAATATTCAAGTCACTTTGCATATTATAACTGCAAGTTTTTAAGATGCAAGGTTGTTCAGTATGATTATTTGTTACACTGCAGCACATGTTTCTCTGTCATTGAGTGGCACATATTCTTACACTTCTGATAAGAACACTACAAGACTATAATTTAGATGAAGAATAATGTCAAATAAGTGTTAACAGATAAGTGGCATCCCTGGATAGGATACTTCTGTACCACTTTGGTTCACTGAATAATGGCCAAGCCCACTGAAATCACCGGGAGTGCAACTATAAAGACCCTTTAACAGGGCCTAAAATATAGCAGTTCAAAAAGTTCACAGATTTCCCTTGGAAGAACAAGTTTAGCCAAAATATGGATGTGTTTCAAGTTCTAGCACTGTGCTGGATTGGGAGCACTCTCCTCTCATCCCCCAATCACACTTTTAGGAATGGTTTACTCAAAATAACAGTGCAGAATAAACCTGCTCCAGAGCTTTCAGCATATCAGTACTTCCTTACTGAAAACAGAAAAGCCACATCCTTTGATAAGGTAATGAAATTTGTAGATAAAATATATGGGTTAGATGGGCCAACTAAAATATTTAGCAACAAATTCAGAGGAATTCCCTTTTCTCACAGATAAATGCAACTCTTCCCACACAACAGATACAGCACATCACCATTTTAAAAACTAAAATTCAATGTAATAGGGTCAAGAGACATTTACAATGTGCACTGCTGCAGACAAAATCCTCCCAATTGTAAACAATGCTAGAAAATATACTGGAAGTGGTGGCATTAAAGCTAAGGTTTTTTGTTTGTTTTTTAAGAATAAGAAACTGGCCCGTTACAAGCAGTTTACAGGTTGTTATATCCTTTTCACATTATGCAGAAGTTCAATACCATCCACAATGCTAGTACAATAACAAATGCTAAAAACAGCAAGTCAGTGCTTACAAATACTGACGTTTCAGACTTCTTCCTGCTGTGTGTCTGTGCAACTCCCACTAGTGTGAACAGGCTTGTGCGTACACACACCAAAGGAACATAGGAAAGCCTGCCCTAAGTGTGAAAATAGAATGGATTCTAACATGAACACTTGAGATACTCACTTGGAATTAACACCTCTAAAGTCATGCTTTCCTTGTTTGCAGTAACAAAACTAAATCCCATGTGGCTGTGGGCATCTTAATGTATTTCAAAAGTTAGGCCACAATTACTGTACCATATTTATCAAAACCAAAATATATATGTACCACACAACATACAAAAGTTACACATTAAAAGTGCATACTGAGAATCCATAATTTGGCCCATTTTTTGAAATTTACATTTGGTCATTCTTATGCGTCCTTGACCTTCCACGTATTCCATTTGAGAAACCACTATTTATTCCCAGCACATTTCACTTATCCTCTCCCCATACTAGTTTTCACTCAGGTTCAGTCCAATGCAAAACACCCATGGATCATAAAGTAAACACAGGCCAAAAGGGTCGCTGTGTGCTCCTTTCAACCCACTCGATGGACCCACTCACACAGTAAGCATTTGCAAATTCTCCCAAAAATACATTTCTGGGTCAAGACATTGCATATATCCCTCACTCACCTGAACCAATGGAAAATAAATTATATTTAGAGTAGTATATTGCCACAGCATGCCTGACAGTACTCTTCAAAGACAGCACTCAAAGCACAGTCCTTGGACTGGAGTGCTTGCGGGCCTTCAGTTCAAGTGCTTCAATGAGAGGCTAGCTGAAACCTTCCAGTTACCACAAGACCAAATGATAATCTTCATTATGAGATTGAGGGAAGAAATGGAGAAAGGAAGAAGGAAGGAAGGAAGGAAGGAAGGAAGGAAGGAAGGAAGGAAGGAAGGAAGGAAGGAAGGAAGGAAGAGTAGGAAGATCCCTTTCAAGAGCAGTCTTCATTTATCAGCATTACTGCGTTATGGAGCTAGTGCAATCCTACATAGCCGAGTCAAAAAGACGAGGCACAATTTAAGAAGAAGAGAAAACCAAGGAAATCACAAATGAACTAGAGTAGTTGACGTTAAGGCCTTTCAGTGAACTGGAGAGTTATCAGTCTAATTTAAAGCTGATAATTAAACAATATATTATCCATTCTCAAAAGCTTTCAGGTTCTGTTCAGTGGACAAGGGTAACAAATTCGGACAGATGTTTTGTTAAAAAGAACCCCTCCGGACAGGGATGAGGAGTCATTAATTTTCTATAGTTCATGGAAGATTTCATGACTGTTTTAGTCGTTTGCGTGGAATGCCAAACTGTGGACACTGTGCAGACGCAAGAGCTCGGAAGGCCTCGGCTACTAAGTGGGGATGGGAGTGAATCATCGACTTCCAGCCTGCTGTTTCCATTATGTCTGTTGCTTGGCTGTAAAACAGAATAGACATGTAAAAATCAGTTCCTTGTTTAGGAGAGTAATATTGAAATAATTTACATGTCCACGTTGATCCTATTAACTTTGATGTCAGTGTAACCTAAAGAAGGTATGAAATAAAGATGGCCGAAATCACTTGCGTCTCTAACACAATTTTCATTTGGCTGGGGATAAGACCCATTGAACTCAATGAGACTTTTGAGTAAACATATTTAGGACTGTATTGTTTTGGTCTTATTTCCAGGTGTTTTTCAAACAATAATTTGCTATAAAAGAATACAATCCAATTGCTACAATTCTCTGGATAATCTATATCACACTCTCCTTGTTGCACACTTGAAGCTAATGGTGACTTAAATGGAATTCAAGAACAAAATTAGGATTGGTAGTTCAAACGTTCAAAGAAGCATGTTTGGGAACCAACAACAAATTATGTATTCAGACTGTAGTTTTCTGCTAATTAATGAGTCATGGTTCAAAAGTAATAACAAGCCACTTCTAAACAGACCACCACAAAGTTTGTTGTGATATGTGCATGTGAACAACATCAGGGCAATGAACAATTGACTGCAGACAACGCTGAAGAGTGAATTGGGTACGTACTTGCTGTTCCAGTTTTTCCCATCTTTACAACCAAGTTGCCTAAGAACACTGCACCTGAGACATAAGAGAGTATCCAGATATTAATATGTTGCAGACTTTCCTTTAAAGGATAAAGAATTTGTTAAAAACAACAAGCTAATTACATGCCTGTTAATAAAGTCTATTGCTTGTGCTTTCAACTGTTCTGCACTGTGCAAATCTGCGAGAATCAGAATCTCTGCAACATTTTCTACTGAGAGGTTACTACACAGAGCTTCCTCACACATGATCTTCAGCCGTTCCAGTGCATACTAACAAGAGAGAGAGAGAGAGAAAAAAAGAAAGAAAAAGAGATAAATTGCTCATTGTTTATATTTATTGTTTCCTACTATACTCTGAACAGCACACATTTCTAGTACTTCACAGGAATTCTGAAATTCTTGTCACCCCATATAATCATGCCAACTGTTTTAAACAGAGAGACTATACAGGCAGTCCCCAAGTTACAAACATGCGACTTACACATGACTCATAGTTAAGAGTGGGCGTGAGACAAAAGAAAGTGAGAGAAATATACATTTAGGAAGGGAAATCCACTCCTGAAAGAGTTATTCTCATGGGGAAAAGGTGTCTCAGCTGAAGTTTTGTCACCAGTGCTTGTTTCTACAACAAGCCATTTTTTTCCAAATCCAATTATCATAGGGGCAGAAAGAGAGGTGAAATCATCTGAATAGGGACACAAACGACAAAACAAACACCACAGGGCTGTGAACCCTGCACTATGTTATTCAAAATGACACACACACACATATACACACTTAGTTACACTTAGTGCTATTTGCCATGGGCCACAGATTGGACACATCTGGTCTAAACCATGGATGGAAAAGTTGGGTTGGGAGGATAGGTCAGCTTCCCCCCCCCCCCCCCAATCAACCAAGGCCATTGCCATTCATCCCATGCTTCCAAAGATTGATGGAAATCTGCCTTCCAGGAATGCAAACTGGATTCAAAATAAGCAGAATGTCCCAAGACATCTCATTTTAATGCAACTGGGGAGCTGTACGTAATACATGGGCTCCAGATACCTGCAATAAGCAGATTCAATACAATTCCTAGATCTTATTTTTTCTCATACATTTCTAGAAAATTTTCATTTTATAATTACATAAAAACTCCAGACTACTATTTTTGGAATAATGTATAAAGCCCTTGTGTGATCAATTTCATAAATAATGAATAAATTACTTACTTTGTCTGCTGCTGCCAACAAACTGTCAGCCATTTTATCAAGGTTTGGAGCTTTTCCCGTATAAATGAATCTCATCATCTCTTTAAAAACTTCAGGGTCTACATCACTTATTTCTACACGATTCTGTTACACAGAATGGGGAGGGAGGGAATATTGTTATGAATTCTGACTTAAATTAGCATGATCCACTTGCACTACATAATTTCTAAGACATCTTGACTATGCAATACCAGTGTTCTGATACAAAATGACTACAAGGGAAATTTGGCTTCCATTATAGTTATTAAGGCCTCTTAACCCAAAACCAATGCTGGCATACTCAAAATCTATTTGAGTACTAAGCAACCCAACTTTGACTCTTGAATATGAGGTGGATTAATTCTGTAAATAGTCATGAATGTTATGGAGAGCACTGAACAATGCCACTTGCTGGAATGAATGAAGTTAAACCTTTAATCATATGCATGCTTACCAGGGAGTGATCTCCACTAACTATAATAGTCTGATATTGGGTATACATGCTTACTAAGAGTAATATACCCACCCTATCCAATTCTAAAATTTCTTTGTCTTACTCTTACAATACTATTCGGCATGATCTTTCTTTCACTTCCAATTTAAAGGGATCACATTTATGTTTGATTTCAATATAAATTTTAGTGAATTGCCTTTAAGATTTTTTTCAAGACAAATCCTAGAAAAATACAATATTTTCCCCATGACATATGTGGCATCATGATTAAGTTCCTCTGTGAAAACAGAAATATTCTTATTATGAACCAGAAAGACAGCAGCATTTGCTAGGACATGCTGATTTTGGAGATCATGTCAAACTATATATAATAACAAAAGAGGGAAGACAGTGAGTCTCTGGTTCATTTCCAATTCATTCCAATTAGCAGGTTAAAGACTCATCTTTAAAAAGTCAGTGTTTCTTTTAATCAAAAAGAATGACTATTTGGAACTATGGGTGCCACTGAATTACAATATGGTTGCCATACAACAGTAGGTTAGATAGGTGTCTTAACGTATTTATTAGAGGTGTGCAATTCGGCCAAAAAGCATGCCCCATCAGGGTCCATTTACAACCTAACCCTTCATTCTGTTTACTGGAAAGTAACTCAAATTGGGAGGGGTGTTGCCCTTTACATTTGGCAAAGATTCGGCCCATTGGCTACAATGGGAAACTTTAAAAGCTCAATCCTGTCATTTTAAGGCCTACCTGCATGAAACCTAGCTCAGTTTTAGACCCCATTTATAATTGCAGGCCTGCCAAGTTTCAAAACAATTCACCAATCTACTGTTTTTTAAGAATTATTTTAAGTTTTAACCATATTTTTTTTTAATAAGAAAAACCGCTAGAGTGTATTCTGGGAATTGTAGTTGAGGGTTGTCCATAATCAGCCAATCAGGCTTTCTTTTGGCTGAGAAACACACAGAGAGAAAACTTCAACTCCCATCATGTTCTGAGAGGAACTCAGAGACTTTTCAATGCCCGCCGCATGAAAGTGCTGCTGGGAAAGCTCTCTTAACCTGTTTTGCCAAGCTTTTCGGATCCCTCCTACCCAGTCTGTTTTCGAGGATTATATTAAATGGACTACCAAATATTACAAATCGTTTTCGTTCAAACTGATTCAGGCCCAAGCCTAGTATTTATATTATTAATATTTTAAAATGACCTTTCTGCCGTGGCTCTTGTGCAACTTTATCAATAAAAAACATACAATTCAAAGAAAGGATGCTGCTGCTGAGAATTACCTAGCTTTTATTTAGATTAATAAATTAAATCTCCATACTTTTGCATATCAAGAAGGGCAATTCTGAATAGCTTTTCCTATATTTATGCATGCATAGACAATGCAGCAGGTGCCATTTTAGAGCAGGTGTTCCCTCTTGTGAGAGAGGAAGTAGAAATATTGAAATTTATGGCACAGAAGCAGGCAGGCCAGATTGTGCCACATATCAGTCTTGTTGTAAACGCAGCTCCTCCTGCGAGAGCATGAAGACAGACTGCCTTCTAATCTGGCACCCTATATAGAGCCAGTTGTTGTATTATAAATGACTATATTTCTTGAAAATTGCCAGTTGTCCAGCAAAAAATTGAGGCATTTTTTATTCCTATGATTTTTAATCATGTAACTTAGCCAATTAATTGACTGCTGCAATCTTAATCTACTCAAAAATACAAGGCCTTATACTGAATAACACAGGAACTGATTGTCAGATAACAACAGGTACTCACCTTTTTGCTTTCCTCCATTTCATGTTCAAACATTGCATTAAAAACAGGAGAACGAGCTGTAGTAAGGGATATAAGCATTAATATCATACCACAACTGCAGTAATTGGATTCAACACATTATTAAACACAAAAGTAAAAGGTACCTGCAAGAACAGATTTATGAGCTTTGAATTCTTGCCCTCCTACATTAAAACTGCAATCTGTAAATCTTGTTGTCTCCCAGAGATTTCCTAAATCTTCTGATAGTCGACATTCAGGTACTTTTAATGTGTTTGTACTCGACTGTCCTGATATATTCACTGAATCTTGGACCACACTCACCTAGAAAAAGAGATCAAGATCATGTGATAGTAATCATAGTGTCAACAGCTACTAATCTGTACTGATCAGCCCAAAAACAATAAAAAAATCAAATATTTCAGACATTACTATATACAATACTGGGAGAAAGTACAAAAGTCACACAAGCTCACATTCATCTGTGTGACTGGCAGAAGTGAAACAGTCTCTACTAAAGTAACCATGAAGCAAAGATAGTCACAGCAGACTTTTCTTTGAACTTTACCTCCAAATAAACACAAAAGCAACAGGCAATATTGCAATTGTAATGTCTTTCATCCTGAGTGGACTTTATGCTAGTTAGCATTTTCAAAACACAATTGACCAAAAAATAGTTGGTACCCTACAAACTATGTGGGGAGAAGTCTAGAATGGATGTTTATATCAACATATTCAGCCCTCTGCTTTTGCATGTTTGCATTTTTACAGATTAATAACAGATTTGAGTAACACAATCTCTCCACAGATTTCTAGGTCCTCCAGCACAGCTATATAGTCAACTTCCTAAGGAAACTGATCATACTTGTCCTGGAGGATCTAGAGATTCCTCTCTTCTGAAGTCCACATTAGGCAGAGACTGCATCTTCAGTGGCAGATGATCTGCTCTATTCCCAGAGTCAATTCTTGGCATCTCGAGGTCATATGAGACTTTTTGTGGGGGCCAAACTGACTTGACTACCACATTTCCAAAATGGAAGGATAAGTAGAATCCAATGCTAAGATACAAATCTGAGGTTTTAGGCATATATGCTGAGGTATTTTTGGATACTGATTCACTTTGAAGGGAGCTGCGTTGATTTTCCTAAATCAAATCATCCAAACTACTGCAATGCAAACTATTTCACATGCACTCCTAAACTCAATCCTTATTAAGTATTCCGTTACAAAATTAGTTTGATTTACAACACAAAGTATTTGAATCACGAATATTTTATAGAATAGGAATCCTTCCAGTCCTAGACATGTGATGCATCCACTTACCAACTGAATAATTGCATTCATAACAAATTCATCACACAGTTAATTTAGCCTGTCTATCTAACTAAAATAAGATGCAGTATATTTGCACCATTTAGTCTCAGGGGCCACATTTCAATTATTCTCCCTACACAGCATAATGACACATAATTAAGTTGTAATCTTGCCAAGAAAATTTTGTACACATTTCTTGTAAATACAAAGATCAAAGTAAACTTATTAGCACTTAGAGCGTCTATCATCCCCCTAAGCCCGTAATCAGTCCGTGGCAGCAGTGATAACCTGCCAATGTATATTTAACACTCACAGCACTGGGATCGTAACCTTCTTCACTAGATTCCATTTTTAAGCATCGTAAGCAGTCTTACTGGATTTGACTAAGACAGTTTAGGTTACTGGCATAATTTATAGCGATTTGCATATATTCATCTCTAAGGCTGAAGATCTATTTCACCAGAGAATCTCTACTCATTGGATTTTTGGGTTAATTCAAGTAACTTTCGTGCACCCAATTGCTTGTGAACAGTAAGGGGCACTGCTATTTTGTGATATCATGTTGAGATGGAACTATGCCATAACTATTTATTTGTAAATATCTAAAATTATCAAGGGGCAGTTCGTACAGAAAACTTATCATTAAATAGAAAGTTAAACTGGTCTTAAAGAAAATAATGATGTTCACATTCCTGAAATTTTGTTAATATTAGTAGTTGACACTGCAGTCACTAACCAGGGGCATAGAAATTCAGTCCTCCAGTTGCCACTGGTGAATTTAGAAACAAAGACTGTAAATTTCTGGTGTTTTAACTTTGTTATGTGCTTTATTATAATTTATACTGTTGTCTTGTTGTAAGCTGTTCCAAGTCCCTTTGGGAGATGGGACAAGATGTAAACAAAGCTTCATTCATTCATTGAATGAAACTCAATTTCAATGGCAGAAGTACTCTATGGTCAAGATCCAACAGTGTTGTTCTGCTCATAGAAACAGTTCTATCAGCAGAAAGAAAGGAGAGGAGGGATTTTTGTGTGGCTCAAAAGGAGGAAAAAGGAATGTATTTCCATGCATATGTATGCCACACAATAATGTATTTAATCCTTTATTTCCTTGGATACCAAGCATATCTACCATCCAGTTCTTTATTATGATAATCACAGAGTACCAACCAAGTAATCAACTACTTTCCAGGATCAGTCCTGGTTAGTACTTAGATGGGAGACTACTAATAAATACCAAATATGGCTAGGCCATATTTCAGAGGCGGGAACTAACAAAATGACCTGAGTATTCCTTGCCTAAGAAAGCTTTATGAAATGAATGGGGTCAACAGGTCAGTAAGTCAAAAAGTGAATTGAAGGCACATTTACACACATCTGTCTTTGAAACATTTCATATCTTGTTATTTTATCAATCACTCCTAAAAGTTAACAGCTGTGAATTGTACACCTATGTCCTTGAAAAACCAAGAGCGATTATGCATAGGTGAACTCAAATCAGGACTGATGTCAAGTAGTTCTGAAACAAGATAGCAATAACTGGACATATCACACAGGCAAGCCTTCACATGCTATATCTTTGTAACTGGCCTGAATGCTACTGAGTACAACAATCTAATTAACTGGAGATGATGAATTCATATAAGGATAGAATCAATTGATATTATTATTATTGTTGTTGTTGTTGTTATTATTATTATTATGTCTATCCCGCTTTTCTCTCTGCAAGAAGACAAAGCGGCTTACAACCTATAAAATCAGACCGTTACAGTAAAAAAATCAACACAAGTCTCCATGTAACAATTAGCAAATTACAACATTAAAAAAATTCCCATTCCCCATAACAACAGATATAAAACTGACATAAAAACATATTAAACATAGTAATAATAATAGTAATGATAATAATAACAATAATAATACTTTATTTCTAGATTGCCCTCTCTCCCTGAAGGGACTGAGGGCTGTTTACACATACAAAAAGGCATACAATTTAAAAGGAATAGGAATATCCTATTCCTTTAGGCCGTAAGAAACAAATCAATCACCAGACGTCTGCGATATATAGCTGGAGTATTGCCCACCATTATAGCTGTCCATCTACTAATCTTCTTTGGGGAAGGCCTGCTTCCAAAGGAAGGTTTCAACCTGCTTCTGAAATGACAGCAGGGAGGGGGCTATCCTCACCGCTCTAGGGAGGGAGTTCCAGAGCTGCGGTGCTCCCACTGAGAAGGCCTTCTCTCTTGTTCCCACCAGCTGCACTTGAGATTGTGGTGGGTCTGAGAGCAGAGCCTCTCCTGATAACCTCAGGGCTTGTAGGAGGAGATGCGGTCCGATAAGTAGGCTGGGGTCAAACTGTTTAGGGCTTTATAGGCTAAAGCCAGCACCTTGAATTACGCCTGGAAACAATCTGGTAGCCAGTGCAGTTGTTTTAGGGGAGGGGTAGTTCTTTCCCTATACCCAATTCCTATAAGAAATCTGGCAGCTGACCTTTGAACCAGCTGAAGTTTCCAAATGCTCTTCTGGGGCAGCCCCATGTAAAAGATCTGTTTTAGTTGAAATCTATGTTTTATAATTATAATTTAAGCATATGGATCCCTGAAGGTGTAAGTTCGCACATGCTGTGCTCCAATACTTGGGAATCATTTTGGAACAGTCAAGCTAGCATACTTTTAAAATCCAAGCCAGTTTTAAAGCTAACTGGTTGGAGCAGTTCTAGACAGGAGGAAGCCTCTCTTTATGCACTCTCATACCGACCAAAGGAGGTAGACATCAAGAATCATTCAAGTACTCTAGAAACCTTTGTGTTTCTTCAGGATGTGCCAAGCCAATGGGGAATCACTATCATTATTCAGACATTCAAATATGTTACTTCCTTCCAAACTTCTTTCCCACAAGATGAATATCATTTATATTCCAAGACCGCTCCTTAAACTTCCCTTCAACTTACACTAAGTAGCTACATTCCTGCATGGATAACTTATTTATAGAAAATTGATCTTGTATCAGTTACTTGACAGAACCATTAAGCTCAAAGCTTTGATCATAGTATTTTCTTAACACAGAGAGGATAAACAGAACATTTAAAACATCCCTCATTTCTCATTCATAGCCATGGAAACCAATATTCTATTTTTAAAAGTACTGGTTGATTACCTACCTCACAAAACAATGTAAGCTTATCATCTGGTAAAAGACCATTAGCTTCATCAAGTAAAAAGTCTCTTCGAATGAATTTTTTAAAGCCCCAGTCTTTGCCTTGAACAAATCGATATGCTCTTTGGCTTTCTATCAGCAAATAAATAAAACAGCAGATGTTCAATTAAAACAGACACAAAGTTTTGACATAATTACACATACACAATGAAATCCTATAGGCAAATACAATCAAATTTGAGACAGTCAACTGCTATCACTGATGCAAGTTTGCAAGTATTGTTTGTTTTAAAGGACTATCCCAGGTTGTATTTTGAAATGGCTGGCACTGAACAGAAAATTTACTGCCACAATTTCAGTGTCAAATGAAGCCACAGGTAGCAGTGAGACAATCTATATTTTTAGATGAAGCTTGAGAAGGGAAAAGGCATCATTCAGCACACTGGGTTTATGGTGATTTTTAAGGAACGTTTTGCAGAATCATTCTTACTTCAGATCTCTTTATTAGTCAAAACAGCCTTTCCAGAATACCGTTGTCATCAGCTTTTAACACAGCACAAGGGGCTCAAGGCCAAAAAGTCTTCAAGATGCCCAGCATACAAACTAAAGTGTCTGCATTAGGACACCCTAGATCTAATGGCAAATGTTTTAGAGACTGAATGCCCAAACCGTGAGGGGGAGGACAGGACGTGGGGAGTGTGGCGGGGGGGTGGGGGACACAAGCAAGCGGGGAGGGAGAAGGCAAGCAGGGGGCGGGATGGCGAGCCAGGGTAGCGGGGCAATGGTGGGCAACAGTGCATGTGCCAAGAGAGATGGTGCTGAATGCCCGTTCTGGCACACATTCTATAGGTTCACCACTACTGCCCTAGACACTGGCTACTATACTTAGAGGTATAGAATTAACACATTTTCTCTACATCCCAGCCAAAAAAATTGGCCTTTTAGTTATGAGTTTGACTCAGAAGTATAAAAAGGTATACACTTCTGACTTCCACAGGCATATTTTATATGAAAGCTGTGGACCACAGCCTACTGAAGTCAGGAAATCATGAACAAACACTCACATAGCAGAAAAGACTGTACCAAGTGATACAAAATGTTTATATAATTGTTCCCAGTTCTGGAACTCAGAGTGCCACCTTCTCCATTAAAATAAAATACTACTACTAGTAGAGGAGAGGCAGGAAAGAAATAAAATGTATTATTGTTACTGCTATTACTGTTACTACTACTACTACTATTACTACTACTACTAATCAGCTTTTGTCCCAGTGCTGCTTCTCAGAAGCTTCACAAAGACACAAAATTATTACAAAAACACTGTCTTCTTCCACTTGTTGTGTGAGGTTATTTTGAGCTCAAAATGTGTGCTGATTATATTGCTGGAAGGCACTCCAAGTGGCCAGATACTGGTCAAAGGACATTTAATCAACTACCAAGCTTGCAAACTTTGTGTTTTGTCTGTTTGCTTGTTTGCTTTGTTAAAAATGTAATACAAATGTCTAGTTGCTCCTAACACGATAAATAAATATTGGTGGAAGGGGGTCTTGGGCAATAGGTGGATAATGGACTACATTGGAAGTACAGCCAAATGTGACACATGGGCCTTGCAACTGCCATGATTGCGTTACTGACAGAAGAGGATTTCTCTCTATATATCACAGTCATATAAAGTATAAACTAAACTAAGCAGTTCAAGTGGGGAAAGTCAAATAACTTTTCCTTTAAACTGAAAGCTATTGATATTGGACTATTTTCAAATGTACTTACCCATTGCTTTTGTTTCCTCTCTTTTTGCATTCAAGAGAGAAAATTTAAATTTTGCTCTCACTTCGCTTTTTGGACAACTAACTAAAAGTAAATATAATGAAAGGTAATCCTTGCTTTCGTCATCTAACCCTTTAGGGTTTACTCTCAGGCACCTAGAATGTAAGAAGCAAGTCTTAGAAAAACTAATAATGCATTCATGAATTCTTAATTTGCCAGACACTCTTATAAGCAGGCTTAATAGTCTCATGTGTTTTTACTTTTCTAGAATATGATTAACCAGTTTCAATGAGTTGATTCAACAATGCCTCCAATCCATCTTTGTGTCTTCTAAAAGCATATATTTTCCTCTTTAAACTAGCAGTCCCCAAATTTGAGTGACTAGTTTCTGCTGAATTTCCAACTGCTGGCCATGCTTGTTGAAGCTCAAGGATCTGGAGCCCAAGAACATTTCTCATCTGAATTTTGGAAACCATCATTTTCAATAGTATCCACTAATTTTGTCACATTTGTATCCCACTTCAAGAAGCTCAGAACGAATGTGTACATCATTTCATTCTATTAATTATAATGCCACTAAGGTATTTGGAAGTTATTCTGGTATCACAAAATATAGTTTACAACTAAAATAAGATGAAATGCAAAATTATATAATATCAGAAAAACAGAATTATGCCAACCTATCTAGAAGTTATATTAGGTAAAATGGTTATAAGATAATCTGCAGGTCTACAAATCTTGTGACATAAAAGCCAAAGATAACAGTGATAAAGACAATTCCCATAAGATGGGCCACACTGTATATTTGTGGACCAAATGATAATTTGTATCTTGAACTTATGTCTAATAGTCCTATGCATCAGACAACACTGTTGCATGATATCACAAAACTGTATTTATGACATTTAGCCATACAGGTCCCTAAACTGTAGCTAATAATCTCTGGCAATTTTTGCTGGCTCCATTAGCAAAGACTCTTTCAATCTGAAGAAAATGTACAGTACCATAAATGTGATTTGATCCATGATGAATTGAAATAATTTCTAGAGCTTATGCTTAAAGGGGGGGAAATGGAAATGACTAATACCATCTTACCATTTCATTTTGTCATTTGGCCCTGATGAAAAAGTAGAACTCTTTAAAACTTCACCCATTTCTTCTCGGCAGAAACTGAAGTTATTAATGGTCCACATATAAGAAAATTTTACAACTTTAACCTGAATAAAAGATGCAGACAATCACATAAATTCACCAGGTTCATTTTTCTTCAGCTTAATTTTTTAAAAAGATAGATCAACTACACAGTTTAAGCTGCTTAAATAAAAACACTGTCTAGTAGAATTAAGGAATCACTACAATCTATGCTGGAAAAAACTGTATGAAAATTAATGTTTCAGGATGAGGCTCCATTAGTTCAGCTTCTCCTTCTGGTCCTCCAGCTATATGCTGAGGGGAGTGGTGCCGTTTTCTTCTTTCTTTGGATGAGTTTCCATTCTTGGGACTAAGTTTACTGCAGGGAGGTGTCTCTAGAAGGCTGCTATTCTACAAAACTAACATGAAGAAATTAATTATACCAGTAAGCAGAATTCCAACACTTACGCAAGATATGTAGTTTACCTGCGTATAACACCAGCTTTCAGCTATAGGCCCACTGGACATCTCTCCAGGTGGCGGTGGAGTGGCAGCTCTTGACATCCCCACTTTATTGTAGATTTTTACAATATAAAGGCAGCAATTCCACCATCAGTATTCTTTCTATATATAAAAAGGTAAAAGCAAGCAAAAATGAATATAAATTCAAAATACTTAACCAATATGTTAATACTATAAAGAAAACCATCCTGAAAACTGCATTATGTATACAGTACTTGTAAGGGAAACAATAGTATAAAAGTGTTTCTAATACATAACCAACCTTTTAAAGAAGATTTCATATAAAAAGTAATGAAGAACAAAGATAATTCTATGAATGGCCAACTGACAAATGTAATGTTTTTATGTTGCGAATAAAGGATAATATCTATCACGTTTTAGTAATGAGAAATCTTGCTGCACTTACTAAAAGCAAAGCGAGATGAATTGGCTACTTTATGATAAGCTTTGTTTCCTCCTATGTTCAGGACACAAGCTACTATTAACTACAGATTTATATGTGGGCGATGGGGGAATATTAAGGAAACTAAAAGCAATACATGGAAATATTACGAATCTGCATACTTTGTCATCTATATAAATAAAAATGTAATGTTTGTTTGTGAGAGAAACATAACTCAAAAACCACTGGACGAATTGACACCAAATTTGGACACAATACACCTATCAGGCCAACAAGTGACCATCACTCACGAAAACATGGAAAAACAACACATGCGCAAAACCACATATATATACGCAAAGACACATATACACAAATATATACACACACGGTGGCACAGTGGGTTAAAGCACTGAGCTGCTGAACTTGCTGACCGAAAGATCAGTGGTTTGAATCTGGGGAGTGGGGTGAGCTCCTGCTGTTAGCCCTAGCTTCTGCAAACTTAGCAGTTTGAAAACATGCAAATGTGAGTAGATCAATAGGCACCGCTCCGGCAGGAAGGTAACGGCACTCCATGCAGTCATACTGGCCACATGACCTTGGAGGTGTCTATGGACAACGCCGGCTCTTCGGCTTAGAAATGGAGATGAGCACTAGAATCCCAGAGTCGGACATGATTGGACTTAATGTCAGAGAAAAACCTTTACCTATACGCACACAAAGCACATATACACAGACTGGGCCACAGCAACACGTGGCTTGTGGAAGCATATATTTGGAATCTAATTTAGTCTCCTGTGAATGAAAAGTCTTCTTATGTCCCTAAATGAAGGCTTCTAAGATCCAAAAAGGCATTTGAAGTCCAAAGAATATTACAAAAATACAGGACACACTTACTGAATTACCTTTAATTTAATAACAAAATAATTTTTACCAGAAAGTAAACATCGCACAACTAGCTTTTCAATCGCCTGAAACAGGCTGAGTATCTCTTATGCTGAAATCCAAAAAGCAGTCAGTCCTGATAAAGTTTTATATGACCCTGGATATATAGCTACATAAAATAGACATGAAAAGCAAACATTTACTTATAATAAATAGGCATTGGAAAGACTTGCTAAACAGGCTGATTTTCCTTTTTATAAAGTATAGCTGAAGCATCTTCTGCAGAGTCCATTGTACACATTGCACAACAGATTCATGTGAATGTCTAAAACAGCTGCAAGGTGACTTTCAGAGAACTTTCACTGTTGCCTAATTTTTCGAGACTCCTATCACTGAGCTAAGGGGGAACTCCATTTGGGGTTAGAACCCACAGTTTAAGAAACAATGCTCTAAGGTTTTTAAAAAAGTATGTTGTTTTGGGTTGCTGTGAGTTTTTTGGGCTGTATGGTCATGTCCCAATAGCATTATCTCCTGACGTTTCACCTGCATCTGTGGCCGGCATCTTCAGAGGTCTGTCATTTTTTAATGATTTTTCATTTTCACAAGGTTTTTTGTGCCTCTTGCAACAGAAAAAATTGGAGAGTTGTATTCCAAAATTGTCTACATGAATACCTGAGACTTTTACTTTCTGGTGGTTCAATGGCTGGACTATATCTACAAAGCATTATGATAGATTTATTTATTTATTTATCGTGTCATCAGCAACCATTGTATTACAATTCTAACAGAGCAAAACAAACACAGAGATTAGAAAGAAAAAGAAAAAAGGAAAAAAAAACCACACAGATTTTGCAAATTTGGTATTTGGTTAAATGTCCTTTGACCAGTATCTGGCCACTTGGAGTGCCTCTGGGGTTGCCGCAAGAAGGTCCTCCATCATGCATGTGGCAGGGCTCAGGGTGCATTGCAGCAGGTATTATGATAGATGAAGTAACTACAAATGTCAAAAATAAAAGATTTAAATGAAAGCTCTGACAATATGCATTTAAACATATGAAGTTACTTAAAATCCAGTGTGTATCCTGCACTCACTTGCAGCAGATATCAACTGGTATGCAACCAGGGAACAGAACCCTCCTCCACCCCAACATATCCTCAGTATGAATTATAAAGTCCTCAGAAAATTGGCAGCTTCTATTTGCAATGAGTAACTCAAAGCCTCAAGGACCCGAATGGGTCTCAAGTGGTCCCTTTTCTTAATTTTTAAATTTGTGCTAGCATTATTAATGCTTAGCAATCCCATTGTGACATGAATTGTACAAGACTGATGTTTCTCCCCTGAAGATCAAAGACAACATGCACCAGAAGCTCAGAAAAGCACAAGGTAACAGAGAGATTAAGATGAATAACTGTCAAAGTACTTCACAATTGCCTGCTACTGTCAAGTTTTCTTTCATGGTTCACAGGACAGCACAGGGAGACTTTTAAAGATGGATCTGATCTGAGCAGGTATGCAACAGCTGCGTTTCTGATGTTTGCGGTGAACTACATCAATGAATCTACTGCCCTGGGAACAAGAAGCTTGTGAAGTTTGATCAAATGGGCATCTCTAGAAAAGCATGGGTTTAAACATCTCAATGTTCATGATGAAACAGAGAAATATAGGTGGAAGGAAACAGATATGCAGTAATGAGCATAAATCATTACAATGGAACTAGGATAACATAAGAACAAATTGATGTTTTCTGTATTTTGCTAAATACCAATATCATATATTGTGTTCCTAATTATAACACAGTGATAGAAATATGTAATACAGGGCAGAGAACACTATTTAAATCCTCAGCTTCTTATATTCTGTAGTACTCCAGTTCTAGAGAGCTCTAGCCCACCCAGCAATCTGAGGCAGAAGTGAGAATCACATGGAGAACTCAGAGGTTGCTTGATGGCAACTTTTCCATTGCCTCACCATTGTCTACACTGGCCAGAGCTTGGGGTGGGGGGTGCATAATCCCAGCTCTGATTTCTGAAACAGTCTTGAAACTTAGGTATGTCAAATCGTCTTCTTAGGGTGGGGGGTATCTATAATAAAATTCACATATACATGTCATCAGTTTCTCCATCATAAAGACAGATGAACAGACTACTAGAAATCAGGGATTGTATGTTTATAGATGTAATAAACACACATTTCACAGAATGAACAACAAGCACTGGAGGCAAGTACCCGTGAGAAACAAAATGTTTTGTGCCAGGGTCTGCAGCAACTCTCAGCAACTTTCTACCTTTCCACAAGAGATGTTGAGTGAAACGTTTCCCAAAAATGGGAAATTTTCCAAAACAGAACCATTTCCAGTGCTACACTTCTCCATGGAGAAATATGGATATTTATCTATCACTAGCTGTCCCCTGCCACGCGTTGCTGTGGCCCAGTCTTGTGATCTGGAAAATAAAGTAATGTGAAAATGTTGGTTTCTAATATATGTAATTTCTTTAAGCTTGTTGGGTATGCAGTATTTCTTGCTGTTTCTTTGTCAGTGTTGATGTGGAGATTGTCTGATTTGCCTACTCTGGAACATGTCATATATTATTGTCCTTCTTTAGGGATCCTTTTCATATCTATGATACTATGTGTGTGTGTGAATCATATACATGGCTGAATGGCTCTTTGTCAGGAGGGCTTTGATTACATTTTCTTGTCCTGGTGAAGGGAGTTGGACTGGATGGCCTTAAGTATTTTCTTTTGCTCATGGGGGTTCTGTGTGGGAAGTTTGCCACAATTCTATCGTTGGTGAGGTTCAGAATGCTCTTTAATTGTAGGTGAACTATAAATCCCAGCAACTACAACTCCCAAATGTCAACGTCTGTTTCCTCCAAACTCCATCTGTGTTCATATTGGGCATATGGAGTATTCATGTAGGGTTTGGTCCAGATCCATCATTGTTTGAGTCCACAGTGGTCTCTGGATGTAGTGAACTACAACTCCAAAACCAAAGGACACGGCCCACCTAACCCAGTATCTTCTGTTGGTCATGGGAGAACTGTGTGCCAAGTTTCCTTCCTTCCCCCTTTTTCTTTACCTCCCTTTCTCTTCTTCCTTCTTTCCTTGTTTCCTTCCTTCCCGTCTTTCCTTCTTTCCATTTCTCTACGGGGAGGGGGCGGGGTTTGGAGGGGAAGAAGAAGGAGGGGGAGGAGGGATAGATTTGGACAGGGCAGGAAGGGGCGGGGCTTGGAGGGGGCGGAGCTTGCAGGAGAAGAAGAAGGAGGGGAGGAGGTGAGATTGGGGAAGAAGAAGGAGGAGGTAAGATTGGGTCGTGGTGTGGCGTGTGTGTGTGCCTTGGGGGAGTGTGGTGACGTGTTGTGGCGTGTGTGTGTGCCGCGGGGGGGGGTGGTGTTGTGGCGTGTGTGTGCCGCGGGAGAGTGAGGTGGTGATCCTTTGCTGGGGAGGGGGGAGGTGGAGGGTGCGTTGGCCGTGTGTGTGTGTGCCGCGGGGGTGTGTGGTGAGGTGTTGTGGCGTGTGTGTGCCGTGGGGGTGTGTGGTGACGTGTTCGTGCTGGGCAGGGCGAGGGAGGGAGCTGCGGAGGGTGCGTTGGCCGTTCGGCCATGTGCGCACGCGCGCCAGGGACTTTGCGCCATTGCGCATGCTCAGTTGTTTTGTCGTTTTGTGAGTGTGTTGTTGTGTTGTTTTTCATTTTGATTCAGTTTGTTTGTACCTAGTGGGTTGAAGTATGTGCATGGGAATTTTGGTTAATTTCCGTTGGGGTTTTTTTTGAGTTTTGCTTCTCCGTTCGACGCCACTTTAGATTTATATATATAGATTGACTGAGCTGTTGTT